TGCCTATTTCTCGTTGTTCGCTTTGTGTTGCCGCAGTATTCGCCACACTGCCCTCCACCTAAGTCTGATCGTCCCGATCAGACACACTTGCGGTTCCAAACGCTGCAAGCCTTTCCAAGTGGACCACCTTCATCTTGTTTCTTGGTCTCCCAACGGTCTGGATCCGATACACTACGTCATTTAGCCGTTTTACGACCTTATACGGACCTTCCCAGTTGCATTGTAGTTTTGGGGACAAACCTTTCTTTCGTTGTGGATTATACAGCAACACCAAATCTCCTTCCTGGAAACCCTCGGAATTCATCGCCTTATCATACCTGGCTTTCATCTTGTCACTCATAATTTGTGTGCGCTGTCTCACAAGAGCATGTATCTCTCTCAGCTCCTCTTCCAGGATGTTTGACGTCTCTTTTCCAATCCTTCTAGCATCACCAGTCACCCCAAACTTCAGATCACTAGGCAAACGGAGCTCACTGCCTAATATTACCCTTGCAGGAGTTTTACCCGTTGTTTCATGCACTGCTGACCGGTATCCCATCAGGAACAAGGGTATGCGGACATCCCAATCTTTTTGATTCTTGTCCACGACCTTCCGCAAATGCTCTTCCAGGGTTCGGTTGAACCGTTCCACCATGCCGTCTGATTGGGGATGAAGAGCCGTCGTTCGAGTTTTCCGGATACCCAGTATCTGGCACATCTCTTGGAACACTGCCGACTCAAAATTTCTTCCCTGGTCAGAGTGCAGCTCTATAGGTACACCGTATCTCGCAACCCAATTGTAGGTGAATACCTCCGCTACTGTTTTAGCTTCCTGGTTTGGAATCGGGTATACCTCCGGCCATTTACTAAAGTAGTCACATCAGGTCGAATAATGGAATGTGACGCTCCAGTATCCACTGTCAGCACTCGCTCCTGCCCATTCACACATCCACCAATAGTGAGGTTGCTAGCATTCCGGCCAATTTGTGAGACGGAGATTATGGGCCCTTCAACTTCTGGAGCCAGCACGCGGCCCTTCCTGCTGGCACGTTTTAGTTTAACGACTGATTTGAGTTGGATTCGTCTCCCTCAGCCCTGCGTTTGCGTCCTGCTGAATGGTTGAGCCCACTGGAACTTGCGCTGCAATCGCGGGCTAAGTGGCCTGGATTTCCGCAACTAAAACATTTTCTAGCACCATCCTTCCTCTCGGTTGCCCCAGGAGTATTCTTCCCTGCCATCGACTTGAGTGTTTTCAGGATCTCTTTCATCACGTCAGGTGTTTCCACTTCTACTCGATGGGCTTTGTAGGCTGGTCTACTTAGGAGTGCTGCCGTTTCACGTGTCTGAGCATACGAGACCGTTTCAGCAAATGTTGGCTTTGGATTTGCATACGTCTCGCGCTTGGTATACACGTCCCGCATTCCGTTGATGAACCTCTGGATTTTCACTCTTTCGAGGTGCTCACCAGATGCATCTCCAATTGCCAAATGAGCCAACCTTTCAACCTCAGAGGCGAATTCCTGTAGAGTCTCGTTGGATTTCTGGCAGCGATTTTCCAGCTCCATCTGGTAAATCTGTCTCCTGTGCTCGCTACCATAACGTCTTTCCACTGCACCCATTAACGCATCGTAACTGTTCCTTTCACAATCAGGAATAGTCTGCAAGATTTCCGCTGCAGGTCCTTTTAATGCAACGAACAGTGCAGCGGATTTATCCTCCATGCTCCAGTGATTTGCTGTAGCTGTCTTCTCAAACTGGAGCTTAAAGACTTGGAAAGGAATCGTGCCGTCAAAGGATGGAGTCTTTACCTTGGGCGCGCTGGTCGAAGAAGGTGGGCGATTCAACTGCATATCTCGGAGGCGACCTTCCAACTTTTCTACCTTAGCCTCGACTTTCTCCTGAATTAGCTCTTCGATTTTATCTTGTCGTTCCTCGATTTTATCCTGTCTCTCTCTGAGTTCCGCGTTATCTTTAAATAAATTCTCTTGTAGCTGAGTAATCTTTTCATCTAGCTGCGATGACATGTACGTTTTCTGTGCTTCCAGCTGCGAGGAAATCTGTGATGACAGCTGTGATGACATCTCTGACATGCGTGTATCCTGTACTTGCATCATCTGTGACATGGCAGCCAATAACGTGTTCATGTCCATAACTATTGATGACGAAGGAGCCTTTTGCTGTTCTTCAACCTTCCCGGATGTCTGTTGCACATCCTTCGACGAACATGCAGCCTCATCCTTCTGTTCGTCCATTGCGGATGTATCGTCGGGTTTACCTTGGAAGTCGTATTTGTCCACGTCGATGCCTTCAGCTTCCATAGCGTCTCGCAACCGGGATAACAATTCCACTTTTCTTCCGGAGGTGGCCAAATTACGCTTTTCCAACTCCTGTTTCAGCTCCTCAATCTTTAAGTCCTGAATTTTCGCCATTTTCAGTAGTTTATCCTTCGGGATTTATTTAACAATCCCACTTCTGACACCAATTGTTACGATTATCCTCGAAACCTTGAGGGATTACCCAAATATACTCGGGCTCGTATCGCTGGATTGTTAAATAAATGCTAACGATGACCGAATTGTAGTACAATTAACTTTATTGTACAACAAACAATTTACAATACTTGCTAATACAGTAAAAACACTTTACAATACTTGTTAAAGCAATAACAACGCTTTACTACTTGTTAACACAATTAAACTTATAGCTTGCTTATTCGCAACTCGATTCTCCGCTCACTTTACTTGTAGCTTGCTGACTTGTAACTGTCTCAACTCCGCTGTGTCGTGGCTCTTATATACCTGCGCTCACACTTATGGCAACTCTAGAACGTTCTGAAGTTTATCGCTCATTCTCTTTCTCTCGCTGTTCGCAGTGTTCATCCAACTTAACGTTTCTCTTTGTGGAACATTCTACGTCATTCCTCGAACATTCTGCCTATTTCTCGTTGTTCGCTTTGTGTTGCCGCAGTATTCGCCACAATACTCGCTTTGTTTTGTTTTGTTGTCAAATTTCTGAGAAATGTGAATTCACCACGATGCGATACAGAAAGAACAAGGACCAGGGATGTAATTTTAAGTAAATCTATTATTCAGTGGCAAGGCGCAGAGCGTTCGGGGCAGCAATATTAATTTGTATCAAATATAACATTAAACGGTGGTTCTAATACATTTTTTGATATTATTAACCAGAGTACATACATTATATGGTATTTCTTTCAAAATTAATGTACTATATGAACTTTTTTTTTAAAATATTTCTTAAGTTTCTTTCATGAGTGCTGAAAAGCAACCATGCGTGTAAGAAATTGTGTGCTACCTAAAATTTCACCTCTGGAAACTTTATCCCCATAAAGGACTTCACCACAGTTTTTTTACTGGATATACTGAGACACAATTCTTGTAGGGGTGTCATCTTCCGTGTGGGTGTAATTTAACAAATATTCTAAAATTATTAAATATTCTGTGATTAATTATTAAATTCAAACCTATTAGGCATTTAAAATGAATGTACTGGTAAGAACGGTGTTACTGGCGCTGCTGGTGCTAGCAGGATTTCTGGTTTTCACCGCTGCACAGAGTAAACAAAAGGTAACCGATATACAGGATGATTACCCTGAGCGCTATGGCCACGTCATGGACCGCAAGCATGTTGATCGGCGCAAATCTTAATCATTTATATATTTCTTTTACTATATCTTACCTAGACGGGTCTCTCATTATCAGAGAATGTGCGCAACTTGCAAGATATGAATATGAAGAAAGCGCTGCTGCGTTTCAATGGACAGAAATTTCGTGATTATGTGAAGAATACGCCTCGGAACTACTCTGTTGTGGTCATGTTGACAGCGTTAGCTCCTTCGAGGCAATGCCAAATATGCCGTCATGCCCATGATGAATTTACAATTGTAGCCAATTCTTATCGCTACTCACCGACTTACTCAAATAAATTATTCTTTGCGATGGTTGACTTTGATGAGGGCTCCGATGTATTCCAAACGCTGCGTATTAATACAGCGCCTGTTTTTATGCATTTCCCTGCCAAGGGTAAACCCAAAGGTCCTGATACCATGGATATCCATCGTGTAGGATTTGCCGCAGAAGTGATTTCGAAATTTGTTCATGAACGCACCGATATACAAATACGTATTTTCCGACCACCGAACTACTCTGCTACCGTAGCAATGATAACGTTAGCTGCTCTAGTCGGCGGCTTCCTCTACATACGTCGCAACAACTTAGAGTCCCTATATAACAAACAAATTTGGGGCGCTTTGGCGTTATTCTTTTGCTTCGCCATGATTTCAGGGCAAATGTGGAATCACATACGTGGTCCACCATTGGTTCATAAGAGCAAAAACGGGGGTGTTGCATATATACACGGGTCATCTCAAGGACAACTAGTGGTGGAAACTTATATCATTATGTTCTTAAGTATGAAATTGCACTGATTTTAGTTATGTTTTGATAATCTCAAAAGCTACATTATATTACAGATGCTATGATTGTCCTGGGAATGGTTCTGCTTATAGAATCTGGTTCACAAAACGATAATAAAAGAGCGCGCATAATGGCCATAGCTGGTCTATTGCTGGTTGTTATGTTCTTTTCCTTCCTGTTATCGGTGTTTCGATCAAAGGCGCAAGGTTATCCTTACAGGTAAGAGTATGAATATAACTTAAAACTATTTAAAATTCATATTTTTACGTTTTCATTTCAGTTTCCTTTTTAAATAAACGATTCGATGAGCTTCAGCCATTTTTTATCTGAAATCGTTGCATTCAAAATCATTCTTAGTCGATTTTTTCTGTGAACATTAAAAAAAAGGGAAAATTTTAGTTTGGCATCCCCCGCGTACAAAAAAAATGTGGCTATGGGGGGGGTAGGGGGAGTTCTCCTGATTGCAAATATATATACTTTTAGCCGCAGGAGGCTTATAGTTTTTAAGTTATTTATTGTTAAAGTTTGTAAATTGAACTAACCTCTCGGCGCTGTTTCACACAATAAACACTATATTTATGTAGACACTTCGGCAAAATAGTTACATTAATATAGTTACATAAAAAAGTATATATATTTGCAATCAGGAGAACTCCCTCTATCGTTCCATAGCTACCTTAATGCGGAACTCCGGGGATGCCAAACTAAATTGCAGCCGAATGTAATATAACTATCTTAAAATTTTAATTAAAATATGTATGTAAGTATCAAAAATATTCTAAGTTCAATAATGATTACAAAATGAAGGGTATAAGCGCCTTTCGTGTTTTCGGATAATTTTTAAAATTTTCCTTGTACCATTTGTGCGAGAGCAATGTATTCATCAACTGTAAAGTAAAAATACAAAATAATACAACTTGTTAGGAAAAATGTACGACGTTTACCTGATTGGAAAATACCCATAATCCACTTTTTAATAATTTCCACAGATTTTATGCAAAAAAATACTAATTTTTATACAATTTTAATGCAAATATTAACTTTTTCACTAATTTTCCCCCATAAAATGTAAACAAACAATGCGTGCACAACGATTAGCAAACGACAGTGCCGTACTTATCCGTTTCTGCATCTTCTACGATTTGCCGATAACTAGCCGATAACGACAAGTGTGCAGATCTCCTTTGAAATGCATGTGCTCGGCTCAAAATTTCAGGGCGAGACGATAACGCAACTATGATTGGACGACAAGTGTGCAGATAGCCTAATTAATGCATTTGTAGTGCCTTTATGGCAATGCTTGCCATACCGGAATGACTGCCGTAAGGAGTTGGGCAGCAAAGACTACAAGATTAACGAGGCTACCGAAGACTATTATCACTGCAGTAAAACCGATAAATATAAAGTTCAGTAAATTGAAATTATATTCTTCTATAAACTGGTTTAAGCTATTATAAGCCAATGTTAACATTTTTTTATAATTATAATGGTGAACTTGTGTGAAGAATAGGCACACGAATTTCGATACGATACGATACCATATCGATACTTTTGGCATTCGATACCGATATTTTCTACTCGATAGTTTTAAAACGATATTTTTTGGAATCGAGTATCAGAACCCTAGTATCGTATCGAATGTCATATATAGCGTTTTCTTTTCTCAAAAAAAGTTGTGCCCTTTTATGTGGGAACTCTTACTTTGCGTTGCCCTGAAACCTCAGAAAATGTTGCTTTTTTATATGAGAATGAAACAGAAATTATACTACTCCATCACAATTTATTTATAGAACTTAATAAAGCTGAATTATTCACATGGCCTGTAAGTCTTTAGTAATTTTAAAGCAAATACTTATTTCTGATACGGAAAATAATTGTAATTTTAC